GGGGGGCAATTTTAAGTGTCATAAATAGAGTTGCAATTGATTTCCAGTAATTCTTCCTCTGAGCAGGGATGATTTTGTACTTGAAAATTGCTCTGAGCAAAAACTAAAGCCAGAAACAAATCTGGCATATTAGCACTGATATTATAAGGGACCTGTGCTACCCCGCAAATCACAGCTAATTGAATTTCCCTTCTACCCCTTTCTTTTCATCAGTTCCACTTAAGTTAATGTTGAGAGTACAAGGAGTTTTGTGTGCAGAGCCGTTAAGAAAATAATTCATAATTATTCTCTAAACAACAAGAATCCTTTTCTACATTACTCATTTTTCCTGGAGCTATTTCTCTCCTTATTTGGTTATACAATTAGCTGAAATCATAGTGAGTGTTATGCTTTTGAAACAAAACTAAATGAAATGGTAACGCAGTAATCCATCAATTACAGTGGGGCTACTAATGGCTTCAAATGGTTTAGGATGAAAATATTTTGTTGGATTAATAATATATTTAATGCTACGTACTCACAATTACAGCAGAGAATAAAATATTATTTTAGTTAATCTCTCACTGTCAGGACTTGGAAGTTTTTATAATCAAAAGGATTATTCTCTACTTACACATAAAGCTAGGCAACACCACTTGGCAGTCCCTTTTAAAATAACTCAAATTCTGGAGTCACAGCAACAGTAAATGGGGTGGGAGAGGGGGAGAAAGGTCATTTGAACCTAAAAGCAATATACTAGTCAGTGTTCTCCAGAGAAACTGAACCAGCAGCATATGCGTCTGTGTGTGTGGTTAGGTGCCGTAGAGTCGATTTCGACTCATAGTGACCCCATGTGACAGAGGCGAACTGCCTCATAGAGTCTCCTAGGCTGTAATCTTTACAGAAACATATTGCCAGGTCTTTTCTTCCAGAAGCTGCTGGGTGTGTTCGAACCACCAACCTTTTGAGCACTTAATCATTCCGAAACCAGGGCTCCTCATTATATATATATATAGAGAGAGAGAGAGAGAGACAGAGACACAGAGCAGAACTTAAGAAGCTGACTCATAAGTTGAGGGGTCTGATGGCAGGTTAAAAACTCCAGCAGGATGTCTTAAGGCAGAATCCTCCCTTCGGGAAACCTCAGTCTTTAAACTTAAGGACTTGAACCATTTTGATGCAGTCCACCCACCTTATGGAGGGTAATCCACTTTACTTAAAGTCTCCTGATTATAAATGTTAATCATATCTAAATATTTTCACGGTAACATCTAGACTAGAGTTTGACCAAACAACTGGGCACCATAGCCTCGCCAAGTTGAAACATAAAATTAGCCATCACCATCAGTGACCAAAACTACTATTTGGGATTAAATATATTATACTATTATATTCACATTCTTTTTTCCCATTGCAGTTTTTGTAAAAAGTACTTTTAGTAGTTTTATATTAATTTATATATGTAATAGAAGCCTAATATTTATAGTATAGCTCTGTAAAATGCCCTGTGATCAAATTCTGGACTTGAGTGTGCTTTAGCTTAACACCAGTCAAAAATACCTAGCCATCTACAAAGGGCATTTCATTTGTAGATGGAATGGTTTCATCAATATTTCCACACTTCAAATAAGCATCAGTCATTGTCATCTGAATTTTTAAAATAATTCTAAAAGGCAGCACTGAGCTCAGCAAAGACAAAATAATACCCACTGCAGCATAGATTTCCTGGGAATCTTCAAGGCCAGAAGTCATTTGCCTTTAAAATATCTTTAGCCCAGAACATTCAACACTTAAGGCTGCATTTTATTAGTTGTGTTATATTTCCTGAAAAATACAAATGGGGATATTTCAAATGGCAAACCATATGGTCTGCTCCACATTTAGTTCCCTTTTTTTTCTTTTCCAGAGGAATTTCTCTGCATTGAAAAAATGTAAAGAAATGTGGAAATGTACAGGGAAAGACTTACGATACAGAGAACGACAAATTTGCATTTCTTTGCCTCTCCTTAGCAGTAAGATTGTAGTAGGGGGAGAAACAGACAGGAGTAATTTGCCCAATTCGTTTCACGGTTCACAGCCAGCCTTGTAGAGTCCTCTCACCCAAAGGAAGAGACAGCTTTGAATAAAATGATCTTTTTTTCTCCCCCCAGTGAACCCCAATCATGGGTCATTTGCAGTGAAATGAAAGGAAGGCCTTTTCTTCCTTTATTGAAGATTACCAAAGAAGGAAAGGAGACACAAGAAAAATGACCACCATGAAAAGTAAGTTAAAATGATTTTATTGAACTGGCTGCATTCCTAGCCACCTGGTGTATGAAGTAATAACAATCAGTCACATTACCGCACATGATTAATACTTATGACTGCTCCTCAGATCCCCCACCATCTATCCATCAGTATCTCAAGGAGGCCTTTTCATATGACTCCTCAGCATGGCTTCCTTCTGCTGAAACATTGTAATTTCACCTCCCTCAGATCATACCCTCAGCAAAATGCAGTGCTTAAGTCAGTTAAGTGCAGTAGAGACTGGGACTATTTTAAAATGGTGCTCATCAGCTCATAACTTAAGAGACAGTTACATGATCACGTCAATTGTAAATCTAAATTATTTTATTTGATATATGTCTGAATTAAAACTCCTCCAAACCGTACGTATGGCTGTAATTTATCCCCAAAAGAACATAGGGAGAAAAAATTAATTAAAGAAAATATATGTCCTATCTTCTATGCTCTCATAGAACGTTATTGCCCTACTAAAAAATTCCCATTTTCAGACAACTAGGAATTTAAGAATAGGTTTGCAGTACCCTCAGAATCCAGGACACAGTGTCCTTCACATGCCAGCCTATAATAGTTTGGGGAGTAATAACCCATAGGTTACAGGAGCAATGGTATTAAATTTCATTTGTAAAATGCTTGAAGTTTCACAGTACTTTAGCATATATTATCTGATATTTTGGTAGGTAATATTTTCCCTGTTTTTAGAATATGAGGAAACTGAAGTTAAGAGAAAGTGGAGCTGGTAATAGAGTCTAGACTTTCTAACTGTAAATTTTGTACTATTTTCACTCTTAGGCACAGATAGGAGAACATCATTAACTAAAATCCCAAAAGCTGTCTTCATTCAACAGAGAAACCTTTATCATAGAGAAACAATTAGTAAGTGCCCACTCTGTGCTTTACATACAGTATTTCCACACTAATGGAGAACTACCCGGGGAGAAACCAATTTTTTTTCATGAAATGCTCAATTCCATGATTAGGAATAGGACTTACAGCTGTGAAAAGACATCTAAGCATCTATGTTTCCATGGAATAATCCAGTTTTCCACCACAAGGCATGAATTTTGCAAGTTTAAGAAAAGTCTTCCTCCCTGGAGAGCTTTTCAAGTAAAGAAGTGCAAAAATATGAAGATAAAAGGCATATGAAAATCTGAAAGCTGATGCTTGTACATAGTGTGCTCAACAAACTAAGCTTTAGAATTAAAACGAAAACTCCTCCAAATCTTTTTTTTTTTTTAATCACAGTTATTTTTAAGAGTCAAGATATTCCAAGTCACACTCCGACACACTAACTCATCTGCTGCCCCTGAACAGCCATCACTGAAAGCAAGGGCTGGGTCCTACCTGCTTCTGTTGTTGGCTTTACCTTCAGCAGCTACCACCTGTCTGTCATTTTGTTGTGCTGTGGTGCCTTGCATGTTGCTGTGATTCTGGAAGCTATGCCACCAGTATTTCAAATACCAGCTGTGCCACCCATGGTAGACAGGTTTCAGTAGTGCTTCCATACTAAGACTGACTAGGAGGAAAGGCCTGATGAACTACTTCTGAAAATTAGTTAATAAAAACCCTCTAGATCAGCACAGAATCTTGTCTGATATAGATCTGGAAGATGAACCCTCTAGACTGGAAGACACTCAAAATACACATGGCCGACTCGAACATACCAACAATAGTGAGGATGGCGCAGGACTGGGCAGTATTTTGTTCCATTGTATATGGGGTTTCTGTGAGTTGGATCCCACTCAACAACAACTAACAACATTTAGCAGAGTCAGACAAGATACACTATTTGTAGTGATAAAAAGAGCCATGGAAGTTAGCTCTTTGTTTCATCGTTCCTCTTTTAAGCCATGAAAGTTACTCTTTGGTCCTAAGAATGCAGTACAATATCACCCTTTGAGATTTTGACATCATGGAAGTAAGAAACTTGAAATAATTAGTGTTTTGTTATTGTTCATGTCTATCTAAGATAAGACCAGAAGAACAATACAGGTAATATTCTGGGGAAAAGGAAGGCGAAAAAAAGCTGAATCATTGGCATTGGACTGCTCTGGCTTTAAATGCTGCCTCTGCTACAATTCATATGTACTCTTAACCTTTCAGTTTCTTTATCTCTAAAATCAGTGTAATCGTGTTTAACCTCACACACACACACACAAAACCAATACTGTGAGTGTGACAGACAACTCAATTATATGGAAAAATTCATCAAAGAGAACTTTCAATAATAGAGTAGACAGAAATTACCAGTAGATTCCTGTTATGCTATGGCAATTTAACGTTTATATTGATTAGTAATATAAGAAATTATTTTTTAAAATATATTTATTTTCTATATGACATTGAATAAAAATTAAGGTGTAAATTTATTCAAAAAACTATGTAAACTGCTTATTTCTGAGTAAATTGCAGTCAGTGGGATTTAGCCTAAAAAACGGCTTCATTACATGCTTTTATATGTTCATGTAAAATAATGTATATTTTTCCAACCCAAATAAAGACGTTTATCCTCAAGAAGCAATAATTGAGATTATATTTTTCATTGTGCATTTTAACTTGTCACTAATGTATTGGAACAGTACAGATATATTTAGTTAAGTAATCTGTTATTGGAAAAATACTCTTCAAGTTTAGCCACAAATCTGATTCAACTACTTTCTGAATGAACAGTAATAATAAAGAAATAGTTTTTTTTTTAAATTTTTTATTGTCATTTATAATCAGATGGCAGTTGGGTGTATAGTCTTCATACTTGATCTTTCTTTTTTGTAAATAAAAAAAGTTAAGTTTTAAACAGCTGATGGCTGGTTATGTTTTCAGAAAACGTGATTAGCTTAATTCATTAATGGTGGCTTCAAGTTTTTCCTTATTAGCACCAGAAAATTCACCCACCTTTAATCCCTTTTTATAAAACTGAAATGTGGGCGTGCATTTGACTTCATACTCTGAAGCAACATCCTGACAGTCATCCACATCAACTTCAAGGAACACCACATTGCCATATTTTTCAGAGAGGGAATGATAGAAAGGCTTGATCATTTTGCAAGGCCCACACCACGTGGCTGAGACATCAACTACAACGAGTTTATCTCCAGCACTGTTCAAGGCTGTCTGAAAATCTTCCTTGCCCTCGATCTGCTTCACCATTTTGGCTGTTGGGGTCTGACTGAGTGACAGTACAAACAGAAAAAATTCACCTGCAGCGCCAGACTGAGCTTGAGAAAATAGAAGTTTTTAGATGTTTAAATACCAATTTGAGTGTTATCTTGCATCTAGTATTAACAACTCTAATTAGAGATTGTCGTTCTTTAGACACTGCATCAGCTGTTCTTTTTGTTGTTGTTATTGTTAGGTGCCATGGAATCAGTTCTGATTCATAGCAACCCTACGTACAATAGAAAGTGACAGTGCCCTGTCCTGCAACATACTTATAATCATCGTTATGTTTGACCCCATCGTTGCAGCCACTGTGTCAGTCCGTCTTGTTGAAGGTCTTCCTTTTTTTCAAAGACCCTCTACCTTACCAAGCATGATGTCCTTCTCCAGGGACTAGTGCCTCCTCATAACGTGTCCAAAGTACATGAGATGAAGTCTTGCCGTCCTTGCTTCTAAGGAGCATCCTTCTTCCAAGACAGATTTGTTCGTTCTTCCGGCAGTCCATAGTATATTCAGTATTCTTCGCCAACACCATAATTCAAAGACGTCAATTCTTCTTTGGTCTTCCTTATTCATTGTCCAGCTTTCGCATGTGTATGAGGTAATTTAAAATATCATGGGATGAGTCAGGCATGCCTTAGTTCTCAAAGTGACATCTTTGCTTTTCAACACTTTAAAGAAGTCTTTTGCAGTAGATTTGTCCAATGAAGTATTTCATTTGATTTCTTGACTGCTGCTTCCATGGGTGTTGACAGTGGATCCAAGCAAATAAAAATGTTATTATTTTCATCTGGTATTAAGATGCTTTGGATGAGTGAAACAGCTACAATATTCTGACTCACAGGTCAGTTGTTAAAATGACTTACTTATATCCTTAGTCATAGGAGAAATATGTGCCTTTCTCTTTGTTAGGAGGAAACAGCTGAAAGTATCTTCCCTTCTCTATATTATTTCACTGGATAATTAGACAGATAATGAGTGTGATATGATAAATGACACCTTCTTCAATTACTTGTAATTCTTATAGAGTGCAATATTCCTATAAAATTTTTAAACTAAGGGTTAAGTAAGAAACTAAACTTGCTCCAGTTGTTGTGATTGAAAATCTTTCTATAGTGTAGAATTCTTTTGTAGTAGCCTCCTTTTAGAAGTGTGTTTCCAGTCCCTAGCCCATCCTCATCCCCATTCTAGGTGACTTCACCAAGAACTGTTTCCCTATCACAGCAATGTGGCCTTTGGTGCCTTGTTGCACAAAATGACCCTGAGGAGCAAAAATGGGTCAGAATTTGGAGAAACTTGCAGAAAATCTTCAATATGCTTTGTGAAGAGCTTGAGAGAAAGTCAAATAGAAAATCATTGTAATATCATGTGCTTTGATGAGGGCTTGGTTGAGGTTATATTCAATGAAGTGAAAGAACAAGGGTATCAGGAGTGGTTGAGCATCATCACTGGGAATACAGGAGTTTCTGGTTGGAAAGTAAGAAATTTGACACTGGTATTTCAAAGATGGAGCAGTTTCATGTTGTTACCGCAATAATGTGGATTGGAGCCACCTGCCACAATAACCAGTTCTGACACAGGGGTGATGTGAGCAGCAAGAGTTTAATTATATATCGATATATAGGAGACAGAAGGGAATCGATTTCTCCAAAAACCCGTCTCCCCAACTGGAGACTCACCGAAGGCTTTATAGGGACAGGATTATGGGTCTTAGAAGTTTGTGTTAGTTCCTTCTTGAGGCGGTCACGTCCCAGATGAGTTAATCTTTTACTGGCATTCTTAGTGGTTATCTGGCAACATCCTGGTTTTCTTGTCACGAGACGGGTACTTTGTTTGGTTTTTTATTCTTAGATCATTATCACTTGTTTTCTACCCTCTAAGGAGGAACATCAGTTAATCTTAAACTTTTTATAGAGACTGGAACAGGAGGGAAAGAAAAGATCATGAGACAATGTGGGGGTTTATCAATGGGGTGTAGTAATAGTGAGCCAGACCTACGCAGCCTCTTTCCCATGGAGCCCCTTCCGATGTGATAAAAGATTCAGCTTGTGACGCTGAGAGTTGATGAATAAAAGGAGCAAAAGAAATTTTGTTGGCAATTAAGAGACTGTGGAGAAACTGGGAGTTGGATTGGTCATCCCCGTGAGCATGATCATCACCCACACTCCTGATTACTGGTCCTATTATTACTTTCGCAACTTATAACTTGTCCCTCTCCTTTCCCATTTTTGTTACTTAACCTTAAGCCCTTATAATCATTCATTCAAATCTTACGCTTTATCCTAACTTGTATCCCTGACTCCCGTGTCTGTTGCTGTTGTATGCCATCAAGTCGATTCCAACTCACAGTGACCCTATAGGGCAGAGGAGAACTGCCTCATAGGGTTTCCTGGGCTGTAATCTTTAGGGGAGCAGATGGCCAGGTCTGTTCTCTGTGGAGCCGCTGGTGGGTTTGAGCCTTCTACCTTTCCACTAACAGCTGAGTACTTACCCATTGCATCACCAGGACTCCTGTCTTACCTACTTCCAATTCATCTTCTACGTGGCTTTGACTGTGATCTTTCTAAAACCCCATCATTTACTTTATTCTAACTCTAACTTCGGTTCCCATAAGAAAAAGGTCAAAACCATTAGCATAACATTTAAGGCTCCCAACCAAACTATTTTCTTGTTTAACTATCCAGCAGATTGTTCTTTCTTTACTTCATGTCCCTTCACACTGCTTTCTCTCCCTGGGTTTTCTCCACTCCCCTCTCATATCTTGGCAAATACCTATGCACCACTTAACACTTGCTGACCTCCTCTGTCTGTGAGGTGTTTCCTGTCTACCTCCAACCCTTCCCCTTTGCCAGGTGGCAATCAAAACTTCCTTCTGTCAGTCCCCCATTATACTAGGTATGTATTTCTATCATGGCACTGCATTGTACTGATTTACTTACATCTTTTCCCCAACTAAATGACACCTTGAGGCTGGGAACTGGTATTATTCACCATTTAACTGTGAGCACAGTATACGGCAAGTGACAGACACTCAATAAAGGACTAAGGGATGCTTTAAACATAGAAATAGTAGGGTATCAGGAGTGAATGTGTTCAAAATAACATAAATTTGGAGGCTGTGAAATTGGGAAAGCAGTGATAGTTTTAAAAGAAATGTAGAAGTTAAAGGATGATACTGGCTTTGAGAAGTAAAGAACGTGCACTAGGGCATACTAAATTTGTGGAGCAAGAAACATTTTCAAGTGGGAAGGGAAGAGACTGATGGTATTGGACAGGGAAAGAATGCAAGGTCTCTGGGACAATCAGGGACCCAGGAGAAATGAGTTGGTAATACAGCATTGGGAGAACACATTTTCCTCTAAGACACTGGGAAATGACAAGAAAGGGGAATGTTTCTTCCTCCTGAATTTCAAAATTTCTCACTTGGTTATTGATTATTGAAGTGTGATTGGTATTGATGTAAACAATCAAGATTTTTCATACATAGAAGGAAGGAAATAGCATTTTCATAAATTTTGGGGGGTCAAAAAACATCCTTTATCAGAAAATTGAAAACCATTAGAGTCTACAGAATGGATAAAATAAACCAAATCATTCTAGATCACATTTTGTATTTTTTATCAGTACAGTCTCTCCAGAGCTCTAATGTAGCATTAACTACCTCTCTTGTGGGCTTCTGCTCAAGAAGATATTAATAGACTTCCTGGAGAAAATAGGATTCAGAAGCAGAGTTATTATTAAATATTTTAGAACTCCTTAAGGGTTCCAAGAAATAATGCAGTAAATAAACTTCTTTAAGTTTTTTCCCCCTCCAAAGTTCATTGAAATCTCATAAAACAGCTTTCTCAGGAATTTATCAAATCCAATTTATTAGGTGTTTTTCTTTTACTTTACCTTCCAACATTAGGAAATACCATCCAAGTAACTAAAAATGTTTGTTTCTTTGATATTTAATGTTTGTTTTTGAACATCAACTGAAAAAAAAAAGTAATTCGTGTTGGTCCTTCATTAAAAGCTCTATTTTTACAAAATGATCTTCCATATTATTAAGAGAATGATTTTGATATAAGGTGTTTTGGAAAGTGCTGCTAGTACTGTACCCTAGAGTAGCCTGTTTTCATATGTACTGAGGAGACACAAAGAGAGTAGAAATGTGCTCAATAGGGTTTTCAATGGCTGATTTTTTGGAAGTAGATTGCTGGGTCTTTCTTTCAAGGTACCTCTGAGTAGATTCGAACCTGAGCGCATTAACTATTTGTACCACCCAGGGATGCCAAGAAAGATATTAGCACCTACTTTATAGAATTCTGTAAAGATCAAATGAAATAATATCTGTGACAGTGCAATTTCATCCTGAAGAATATTTTAGGAATCCTACAGCCAGGTGGAACTCAGTGCAAACACCACAGACTGAAATAACCTATCATAACTATAACCAATTTTTTATTTGACATTCTTACTTGTTAGTGAAAGATGGAAATTTGGTGGCTCACCAGCAATATAGCCTTACAAATGAAAGAGAAGATAGTTTAAGGGAAATTACAAAAGACGTTGCTATGTCATTTTGAGATTTATTCATCAAAAATTTCACCCCTTGTCTCTTATTCTCAATATCTCTCTCTTTACATACACACACATGCACACACGTGTATTCATAGTTCCTATACGCTGCCAAAAAATAGTCTGCTTTGCTATGGCAAAAAGCAAGAGGCAGCCCTTTGTAGTTTCAACATAATACCCTTGGGACATTTTATTTCTATGGGTCTTTTATATGCAGTCGTAGGGGGACTACAGGAGCCCGCCTTACTTACAGATGCTCTGTGCTGCTTAAGTGCCTCCTTTGTTTCATCCTATGTACATCTATTGTCTTTACTGCATTGCACTACCCCAGCCTTAATGCAAGATCCCCATGGCTCAGCTTTAGGTCCATGGTGGCCCGTCAGCTGCTCCTGCCCTTATGAGTATCTTAGTCTGAGCAGCTCTCTCTAAAA